AGCATAATGATTTTATCTGATGCTTTATCTGCTTCTTTGCTCTCCCCACTTGCATTTTACAGTTCTGTCTGTGCCTGCTTAATTGTATCAGCATAAAGATACCGATGTCTCCAGGATGCGGCTTTACATGTGTTACTAGCATTGCTAATGTTGAGATTACTGATACTGTTGAAGTCATGAGGGTTTTTTTTAGAATAAGATCATTGTCACACTTCTTTGCTCTGCAAGGCCAGAACCAGCACATCATATCTTGACACAAAATAAGATTAAAAAGCCCCACCATACACACAACAGCAGCAGCCACAGATCTCCTGGCAGAGCTGCACTTCATCTCAAATGCAGCCGGTAGGCTAGAAAACACAGCATTGACTGGCTTCTTCTCAGATGAGCCAAATAGGCAGATGAAGATCCTGAACACCAAGGATCAAGCAGGTCAGAAATCTGGACAGCAGGCACTTAGATTGCCAGCAGCACTACCAAGGAGAACAATACATAGTTTTCTTAAAAAAAATATAGATAGGTATCAGATATGTAATACAAGCAGCGTTCATTTTTCCAGTCAGAACTGGACATTTTGAGCAGGTGTAAGCCAGTAACTTGTCAGGGTACTGTTCTTCTTTCCCCCACGTAACAGCCTGCACCCATGGCCAGAAATACACAATTGCTGCTCTGCTAACTTCACAAGCAGTTGTCCCTTCTTTTCCTCTGACCCCATCCTATCCTTTGCTTTACACATCCTTCTCCTAATTCAAGGTAGCCCTTCCCCTCTGGCTTCACACTGTGACCCTGCCCGTTACTGTTTGAAGGCAAGTTGCCTTTCATCAACTCTTTCCTCCCCAAACCCACACAACTGCCAGCAATGCTGAATTAAAAGCTGTGTAGTCCAGCAGAAGTGACAGTGTGGTTTTCCAATGAATTTCTATGTCTCAGTTGATCGACTTTTTAGCTGTAGCACAAGCACGTGTCATTACTTAAAGACGCTAACAGGGATTTCACTGCAAATCAAGCTTCACAGTGAAGTTTGCTCTTCAGGCAACAGAAACCAGTCTTCAGTGGAAGATTCGTCCTATTAGGAATTGAAAGAATCTATATACGATATCTTTTGCTGCTCTGGGGTCACCCATTGTAGCTTTCCATGCCTTATGCTTATACTGCTATTTCTCCTTGCTTCTATAAAACTTTGTAAGAATTTGGTATTTTAGAGCTCTGACAAATTTTGTTGAAATTTGTTGCCAATTTCATGTTAACAGTGATGAAGCATATGCTCTGCCCCATTTCTAAATGAAATCAGACTACTACTTGCCTTACAACTGTATTGGCAAACAAAGTATTCCATAGTTGTTCACAAAATGCACCCGCATTTTCAGCAAGTTATTAATCTTAGCTTTCTCTTAACTCTGTATGAAAAAGCCTTGCTAAGAAGTCAGCCTTCTGCACTTCAGTGATCTTAAAGCGCTTGCCATCCTTGCCAGAATTCCTTGCACAAACTATGTTACACAATAGCGATGTGCACATTATACATTGTGTGTTGTTGGAGATCCATAAGGAGTTTAATGTGTCAACAGAAAACATGGTCGCTTAATATTTGCTTTTCGAGGCAAGATTGCCTTGAATCTCCTTGAAAAGCTTCAGAAATCTTCAATCTTAGGTGACTGTTGGAAGACAAGGACCTCAATACAGGAAACTTTCAGATGCTGTGAATAATCTGTTCTGCCTACCCCTTGCATCTGGTTTGCCTTTGCTGAATTTGAACTTCACGTAATGTACAAGAGCACTTTTAGTGTAAGGTTTAATACTTGCTTATTTGTTTCTATGGCAAACTCTGAAAAGCTGTTAAACAGGATCACACTGGCAACAGGTCCTCACCAGAGTCCGCAGGAACTATCCTGACTACAGGAAATGCAAGTTCACACACTCCACGCGCTGCTTCATGCCAGAAATTGCGTGCTGCTATTAAAACAAAAAAAAGTTCCTATATTAACCTGGCAACATATTTACTCTTACAATGAATACTGACACACCCAGTACTTACTGCAGCTGGAAGTGTTTATTGTTGCGCATTTACAATGTGTAAACATTCAGACAGAACATGTTTAGTGTCCTCCACCTTTGTGCACAGCATTATACGTTGTCACATATACCTACAGGATTGTTGCTCACAAATGCAAGTTATCTAAAATATGCTTCCCTTTGGTTTTCTATTCTGCTCCCAGACTGAATAGACTACAGAAAATAAGGCATCCATTAAATGGCATCACAAGCAACAAAGTATAAACACTAAGTTATCAGAACTGAACTTTTACAAGATCTAATGTTTCAAACAGCCGCTGACAGTACCAGGTTCTTAGGTTGGTAGGAAACATCCAGTTTCTAAAGCGTGGAGAGAGATGACTCTGAGAGGCATATCTATTAAATACATATGCATTTAACTTAGTTTAGACTTCAGGTTTACAGACTGGTGTACCAGAGGAAGATTTCAAATTAAAAAAATAGATATTTTGAAGTGCTTTTGTCTGACTTTTCCTTTAAAAACGTAAGGTCAGCACACTGCAAAGCTGAAGACTGTAATTGATCCTGCCCAGCGCTGGATATAGGAGAACATCTACATTTCTCCACTCAAATCACCCCTCAAACTTCAGTTCTGGCCTGGCATATCCCTGGCCTCTCTGAGAAGAGACTGCCACTTACATTAAGTGGTACTCATGTTTATAGAAATATTTAGTTTATGCTTTCAGCCATATTTGAATGGCTTGTGCATCAATTCACTGTAATGTCTCCAGAAACAAGTTACACCAAATTTCATAGTTTTAGTTTATGTTATGTTTACTATGAGTGTAAATAAACAAAAAATGCTGAGGGCTCTAGAGTGAGCTTTCATTCATTCAGTGCCGGGTCAGCCATAGCTAGATAACGTCTGCAGTACTGAGGGCTAGGTTGGTGTTCGAAGTTGCAATTGTCCAGCACTATTTCTACTTATAGTTGAAAGTTACTGCATTTCTAGTCTACTCACATAAATCTAGCCAAGTCGCTGAACACAGACAGCTTTTTAATGCCCTCTGCATTCTAGCAGAATTTAACCGAGGAAACAAATAGAACAAATCTAATAAAAAAGTCAAACCCCCACAACCCCTGAACTAGCAGTGCGAGTGCCTAATCAGAAAGACTGTAAGTTTATCACAAGCTTCTGCCACAGGCTTACACTGTTGAGAAAAGCAAATTCAGGCTTTAGGTATAAGGTTTTCCACGAGCTCCACTGTCCAGTTCTTGCAATGTGTGCTGCTTCAAAGCCTCCACGATACACTCCCACAATCCATTAAATATGTTCACTAGGACCTGTACAGGAGAGGGGGAAAAAAGTTACCAGGTACTGCATCAAAATAATAGTTTCATTCTACAAGGAGCCTTAAAGGTGCATCTGAACTATTTAATTACTCATTTGACATACACTGATATGTCAAATAACTGCTATGAACCACCATGAAACATTTTGAACATGTGAAAGAATTAAGCTTTGTGTGTCCTGTAGGACCGCATGGCTGTTTAAAGAGCAGAAGCCATAGCACTGGTAACAACATCCCACTCGAGATACTTATTTATTCCTACAGATCATTTGTTTCAAAGTAAAAGGCCACAGTACTGGGCTAAAGGAGTGACGTCCAGTATGTGCAGGCAACTGCAAAGTCAGCCCTTGGTCCAGCTTCTAGAGCAAGAAACACGCTATTTCCAGTTTGTAACACTAACATGCATAGTATGAGGCACGCATGTGGATCAAGACATTTTGGACCAGGATAAAATCATTGAAGAGTAAATAATCAGTTCAGGAAACAAGGCTCTGAAACCAGGCGCTTAAATGCCTACAGCTCTGAGCCCAGGGCACTGCTGGCTGCCCAATGCCCCTGAAGAACAAATTGCTTGAGAGTAACCAAGTTTTCCTTTTCAAATGCTCTTCCAGAGTCCTGATCCCCACCTCCAAGTCAGTGGGAGAAGTATTACATCCCCACCCTGTCCCGCCTCGCGCTGGGTTTCTTGCCTGGTTAAACTGAGAGGTGTGTGCAGAAAAGGAAATATTAACAGTTCAGTGCCCTTTACCCAGGAGTAAGATGCCCTGCTCTGCTTCATCCCACACTTTCATTTCAAGAAAGGCACTCGGTCAGAACAGCAGCTCTCCGCTGTGGACTGTCTGACTGCAGGCTCTGTTCTCTCCCTGCTCCAGAATACGCCCTCTTTTCCTCCCCCTCAGAAATATATTCTATCATCTTCTGGCATATAACAATATATCACACCAGAAAAGCCCAATACCAAGGAGCTGCAAACGCCTTTGATCTTTTTAATCAAGCTGCAAATATTTTAAGGCTCCCCCACCAAGGGACCCTTCAGCAAGCAAGACTCAAGAGTTGCTGCCAGCCAGGTTAAATATAAACCACGTAACCTGCAATCATTATTCCTGAAGAAACAAAACTTCAAATAACTGAAGCATTAAGCTCTCCATAGTGGAAGTTAGGCAATCCTTTTCCAAGTGCTGTGATAATATCTTAAACTGCATGCTATCTTACAACCTTGGCAAGCTGATTTTCTCCCCAGGTTTCAGGCCTGCTACCATTTAAGTTAGGACACCTTACTGCACAAGGTGTCATTAGAAAGAAGACACTGAATGAGTTCAGTAAGTCCTGGCTATTGCAATAAGTATAGGAAGTGTTAATGCTTGCGCATTATACATACGGGGTTCCTCAGTTACTGTATATATTATCTAACTTTCTGTACTATTTTTCATATGTTAATTAATTCTTAATTTAAAAGTTCCCTCACCTCTCCTAAGGAGTTTGTTGGCTGCAGACATTTCACTGAAGTGCCCCATTCCAGAGCATTAGAAATAGTTTGGGATTTTTGTGGGTTTTTTCCCCCTCCACTCCCCAAAATTGAAGTACTCTTCGTAAACATTATACCAGGGACATTTTGTGGTGTGTTGCTTTTGCATATACATTAATGTATAATTTTAACATAGGTACGTACCGTTACAACAACAGAAGAGAGATACAGAACTCTCCTCCTCTAACCTGTACCTGCCAGAGTGCGGTAAGTCTTTGCACTGTGATATAAATCTCTGAAGTTCTGTCTCCGGAAAGCCATCTTGCTGGTAGTGCTAAAAATTGATATTTAGTTAAACCTTTAGCAGAGCAAAACCACACAATAACCTAAATCCTCCCCAGACCACTTTTCAAACATTGCTTAAGCCTGGATTTAGAAGATTCAGAGAACTGAATATGAAATTACTGCTTTTTAGTAGATGCTTAGCTTCCATTGGGGCAGGAAATCAGATAGACTTGTAAGAAAACTGAAGTAGGGAAGGACTAAAAACCTCGTCATCACTCTGCACCCTCAAAAGTAGCCATTTTATTTATTCTTTAAATTGGCACACACTGCAAGTCAAAATATTGAGGGAGATGAGAGTCTTGACAGCACCCATCTTGCATTTTTATTCCAAACGAAGAGTGAGAGTTCATGCTTACCTTGACAGTTTCATACGTATCTGTAATGAGTGCAATGAAGAGACTCAGCACCATATAGATGAACAGACTGATGAAGGAGTAGAGGTAGATCCTACTGAATAACCAAACCAAGTAACTTTTCTGCTGCATTTTTGCAAAGGTGGCAAACATGTCATCTCCATTGATCAATGAAAAAAGACATTCGGAAACCATGTTCAGAGAGCGAAACTAGAGAGGAGGGAAGAAGACAAGGACATCCATCGCCGCTTTATTTGGATCCAAAGACTGCACACAACATGAAGATACACAGCTGTTGACTGGCTGCCTTGGATCTCTTTGTACGCCCAGGGTATGACAAGGTGCAAACAGTAAAATATTTGAGGAATGAGCAAAGTTTGTCACCTCCTGTACACATACACATTCATTTCATTCACCTGTAAACTCCTGCCGGAGCAGGCAAGCCGATGTAACTTTTAAAAGGGATAAGGATAAAGTCTCCAAAGCTTTAGTTTGACACCGGCGTTCTGCAAGATGAAAATTATTTCTCAAAATACCAGCATGTGATTGGGAGTCACGGCAGCTTCCACTTCTGACTCAGAGCTTTCATAACTCGAGGAAAGTCTGATTGAGTCATGGAAGTCAGACTCCTCAAACAGAGCAGCATCATGTTGAAGATGCGCTATTTTCATATTAAGGGAAGCCTTGACATGGAAACTTAGAAGACAACAGTAATAATCTCATTTGTTTGGAATCCATGCTGCTATTCAAGTTGTCTTTTTTCCTGTTAAGTGTATTACCTTCACATGGTATGGTCCCAGTACAATCCATCCACAGAAACAATAGCCCAGGTAGATCATAGCAGCACAACAACAGAACCTCATTACGTTGGGTAATGCTGCTCGCAGTGTTAGGATGAGAAGCTGCACAAAGCAATGCAACAGTTAGAATTCAACCAGGCATTTCTTCCAGTCCTCTTATAGCAACAAACAGAATAAATACCAACAGCACGAAGATCCCAGGAGATCCTTACATTATACTTCTGAAAGAAACCTAGGTAGCGAATGACTCCAAGCCACACAAGCATAGTGGATATTCCTAGCAGTATGCTACAGACGTCATAACTTGTCAGACTCTAAAAAAAAAGAAGAAAAAAAAAAAAAAGAAAGAAAAACAAAGCCAAGTATTGTAACAACTGACAGGTTCTAAATTGCGACTCTCATTACTACAAAGATCTGTTAAGAAACATTGTTTTCCTTGGCAATCTCTCCCATCAAAAATTAGTTTGGCACAATATGCACATTGAAGAGCAGAAGTCCCACCGAAGAGCAAGGGCACTTTCAAGTGTAACTCATTTCACATGCCTTTACATATGGCTGTTTGTAAAATAGATTCTGACAAGACAAGCTTCATTTGCAAGGCCAAGAGCGCAGCTGCACTGCAGGTGCAGAAACACCCCCTCTGTACCTGCCTCACTAAGACCTGCAGAGTGGCACTGCAAACATTTTTATGTTGCTTCCAGACCTGCGGCAACTGCTTCTGGAATCTGCATGGACAGATTCCCCAGAGCAGCTTGGAAATCTCTCCTCTGCATCCCAATGGACAGTGTAGACGTGACTTTAGAACCGCAGAGCAAAGAAGGTTCTTCCAGTACGTAGGCAAAGCGGGTTTTAAAAAATAGCATGACTTGTCAGCAGAGCTCAGATAAATACTAAGGAGGATCTTGTTAGGTAGCCGGGAACTGTGAAGTGTAGAAAGTTATCAAGGAGAAGACTAATTAGCTTCTAATTAATTCTAACCAGAACTTAATTTATATTTTTTTGGCACTTCACTGTTTTTTTCCACCTACACATACTGGCCTGTTTTCATCCAAGTTAGTATATACTCTGTTCCCTGAACTGCAGCTCTACTCTGAAATGGATCATGACAGCTTACATGAATAGGAAGTTTTCACTGTTTTCTGTTTTTATTCCTCTAAGAGTTGGCTAATCTTTTATATTAGCATAATTCATTTACAGCTTGACAAAAACCAAATTTAGGCTACTTTAATATGAACTTATTATTCAGCCATTAACTTTCATACAGTAACATGGAACACCATCTTGTTATTATGGTCCACAAGCCTTGCAAAATGAAGTGAAATGTAGCTGTAGAGAGGAGTTTTAGTAAAACACTCTCTTAGAAAGGAAACATATATAAATAGATGTATTTATATATATAAGATACCAGAAACCCAAATGCAAGATCTTACTCCAATCTTGTTCTCGTCTTTGCTTCTCCCAAAGCAGGATGGAGTTATCTCTTATCTTAGCCAGCTTCCTCCTAGCTTCTTTCTATCCTAAGAACTGAGTTTATAGTTCCTAAGGTAAGATAGGGCAATTTGTACAGGGCGTTTCTGATAGTCAAGCTGTTACCAGATGGATTTCAGACCCATCCTTTCATCATTACTGTCCAAAGTCTGTTGTGTTGCAATGTCACACTTCAAAGTCTGCTACAGATTTGGTGAAGAACAACATTATCTGAATATTAGAGTGTTTCAGGATAGCATATTGTAATAATTTTTCCTCCCTAATTCTGGCTGCACATAATACGATTTTAAAAGATTTTTTTTTTTCCTATATCAAGTTTATTTTAGAAATTGAAGGCCTAGAACCTGGCTGTGGCTACCTGTGTGGTAGCTGGAAACCAAAAGCTGGGAAAGCAGCAAAGTGATGTTTAAGAAAAGAGTCTCTGTGTTGGTTAAACACTTGTTAAATGGGGAACAGAAAGTTAAATGCTAAATTTTAAAAAAATCCATCAAATAAGCAAATATAAGTGGTCCTAAATGGGGAAGAGAGGAATTCAACAGTCTTAAACTTTCACAGATGAAGTTCATTTTATTCCTTGGAATCACAAAGGAGCAAAGATAATTAGAACTAGAACATTCGGTGATATTTGGAGTTTTTAAATCTTGCAACTGGAAACAACACATCTCAGTTATAATTCCAGTGGAAAAGATAGAGTTCTAAAATTTCATGCCACTCAGAACCAAGTATAGCCAGCCTAAAGTCCTCAGAGAGATTTAAACCTAGCTGGGACAGAAACAACCAGTTTTGTTTCCACCTGACAGTATAAAAAGCTTACCTTGGCTTGTATCTCCATCTTTAGAGTTGATCCAACAATAGTTAAGACATCACTGACCATAATCAGGATGTACCATCCATTGACAAATTCCATTTGATCACTGAAAGATACTTCTTTCTTATAATAATATAGGAAAAAGCTTACAAATTCCTAGGGGAAAGGAGGAAAGAAAAAAGTTAATCAGACTTAACACAAGACATGAAGACTTTCCAAGGAAAGAGTTACACCCACCCTTTGGAGCCGAATTCCTTTAACCACTGATCGCGTGCAAAGGATCAATGAGGCCAGACAAGTCAATATAACAAAAGCATCGAAGATCATCATGTAATGAGTGTTCTTCTGTACTGCAAGAACAAAAATGTACATGTTTATAATCAGACGCATTTCATCTTGTTGACCATCTTGAGTATTGAAGTAAGAATCAAGTTTTGATGTTAACTATGTTTATACAACTGAATTAAGAAAAATCTTAGCATTTTTCCCACAAAAGTTTATCATCTGACACATTTTCATGAGAGACACAAGTGCATCTGCACTACAGAGAACACTTCAGTTAATTTAGGAAGGTTGATACCACATAAAAAATATACCAGAGTGTGAGTGCTTCTTACAGCCCTGCAGAATTAGAGGTGGGAGTTGTCCATTTTACAAGCACTGGAATGGCCTTTGGAGTGACAGAACTTGTCCAAAAAAAAAAAAAAGAAATCCCGGGAACTTAACAGTATGTATCTTCTCTTTGAGACCAGTATTTGACTACCAGATAGGCTTTCTGTCCTAGAGCAGTGCAGATAATTTGCACTGCTGCTCAGCTAGCAAAGACCAACATTGAGCTAGACATGAGTTCTCCATCTCTTATGTTACTAAAATTCATATTCTTGATTAACTAAGGTCAAATTTTGCACCAAGTCTACCACTAGACCTCTTTTTGGTTTTTATACCTATCATACAGCTGAAACTAGATGAGACAGTATAAGGGTTAGATTTTTAACGCTGAGTGATTGTTTGAAGAAAAAAATTGAAATAAATTAATGCTAAATTTGTAAGAAGGTGCAGCAATTCTCCCAAACAGGATACTGAAGTTCTAGTTGACTTCACAAACTGCACTACTCAGAAGAAGCCCGCCTACTTCTTGCTTATACCAAAGTCACTAACTCGTGTACTGTTGCCATTTAAGTTGGTTTTGCAGTGTAGTCCAGAGCAGCAACAACTTGTTATTATCCAGTTGCAATCATTACCTTTGTATTTTTCCTTGGCTTTCAGAAAATAATACAGGGTACTCCAGGAGATGATTTTGAAAACTGTTGTAGAGGCGATCTACATAGATATCAAATGTGGATCATTACAGAAGCCTGGTATCAAAACCTTCTTGTACTGCTGCACTAGCAATCTGTTAGACGTAGCATGCCATCTGGTGTGCATTTATAACATGGCAGCTAGTAAAGCTAGTTGATACAGAGTGTTTAGTGGAACATGTATATGCATATGTGGTGTGTTTTGTATTCTCTGATGCATTTCATTAAATTCCCCCAAATTAATTCCAATCTGGATCTTTAAAAAAAGCCAAACTCTTTTTTTCACTACCAGCTCTTCATTTCCTAATGTACGCGTAGCAAAGGGGAAAGTGGCAAAGTAGAAAAATAGACCTGATTCATCCTATTGCTTACTTCAGGAAAAAATTAAAAAATAAGTGGAATTTAGAGTCCTGGAAAGCTTCTGACTTTCAAAGAGATTATTTTCTCTAATCAAAAAAGATTTCAGACAATTTTTTGACCAGACCCAATAGCTGCCAACAAAGGGTGCTCTTGTGAGTAACTATTTAAGATAGATTATTTAACCATACCGTGCATCTCAGTTACACCCAAATACATGCCAAACAACATTTAAGCAGCAGCAAGAAGTGTTTCTAGCCATTCCACTCCAGCAAGCCTTAGCAACAGTGCTTCCTTATCTTTCCTGGTGCTAAGTCCTGAAATAAGAGTGAATCAGTTTCAACTTTCCACCACTATCATGTGTCCTTCTGTTGCCTGGTGCTATTTTTTGCGGTTCACAGCCCTACCTTAAGCAATGAGCAGCCTAAGTTCAGTAGCCAAAGCTAGAAGGGTGCACAGTGAGGTGTGGAAAAATTTTGGTTTGACAGTATCAATGGTGCAAGGTTTGAGAACTGCTAAGGAAAGTAACGGTGTGGCTGGGTTCCCAGGATCTCAGATCAGAGGTTGAAGAACAACAATTCTTTAGAAAATCAGGATTTAGAGCGCACCCACTAGA